AACAGACTCTATTCAAGTGAGGAGATGAAAAAAAAAAAAATAGAGAAAACATGGGATCCATGTAAAATGGAACATGATACAGAAAAGAGGTAAAGTTATTAATTTTTAGGATGACAGCCTAAAGAGTAGCAAGTCTATACTGGAAGGATGGATAGAGGAATTAAAGATGAGGCTTTTAAAAAAATAAAGCTGAAAGATCAATATATTTTTTAGAAACTAGATGACTGGGTATCTGTGCTTCTGGCAGGGAGTTCTGTGAGTGAATTAGCAATACACAAAAACCAAGTAACAAGTGAACAAAATGAGGTAGTAAGTGTAATAAAACCAAAACAGAAGAGTGAATAATAAAAGAAACGTAACCATAATATATTGCATGGCTCAAATGTGAATGATACATATATAGCCATGCTGATATAGAATACGAATTCAGATCTTTAAGCAAAAAGTGGAGCTATGAGAATAGGAAGGGAAGAAGTATGAGGGCGGATGCTGGGGGAAGGGAAGAGGCTAAATACTCCTATATTAAGTCAAATGATGAATGAGAAAGGGAACTAAACATTTTCAACTGTAAGCTGTGAACTTATGATGTGACATTTTAAAACCAGGTAACATGAATTTTTTCCACTGAATTTTGCAAGAATGAGATTGTACCAGTTGACTTAGGAGGGGTTTTATGACTATCATTAAGTAAAAGCAAGACGCAGTATAACAAGATTCCATTTAAGATTATGAAAAGGGTGTTGAAGGGTAGGTAAGCAAAGGAAAAGCAAGACAGGTACTTCTGATAGAAAGGAATATGTACAGGCTTCCAGTTATAGAATGAATAAATCACAGGAAAAGAAGTACAGCTTAGGGAATATAGTCAATGGTACTGCAATAGCATTGTATGGCGACAGATAGTAGCTATACTTGTGAACACAGCATCATGTATAAACTTGTGGCATCACTATATTGTACCCATGAAACTAATGTAACACTGAATGTCAACTATATTTCAATTAAAAACTTTTAAGAACATGTATATGATAGCCACTGGAATACAATTATTAATGTAGGAACATATGCAAAAATCTAAAACATCAGAATCAACAAACTCCCAGTAATGGCTTAATCTGAGGGCCAAAACCTCACATCATTTTCTCTCTTTTGGAGTCTGCAATTTAAGTTGTTTTTGTCTTCCAAATGCATACTTAGGGATTGGCTTAGATACATTCATTAGCCTGATATGCATTTCTCTAATTTAAAAAACAAAGGATTTTCTATGAAAAAAAATGTTTTTAATTTAAAAAGAGCTACAAAAGTACCTGCAAATTGCCTGCTTACCTTCTTCTGGACATTTTTCATTACCTAATTTAATTTCATTTGCCTAAACATTCAGAGATCCGATGCTAAAACAAGTCCTGGCTTTTGGTTGGTGGCTATTTCAATCTAGTTGCTTGAAGATTTCACCACAAAACAATGTTGTGTGCTTTGATATACTCTAGACCTAAACTTTATTTCCTTTACAAAAACTGGTTTTCAATACCTCAAAGAACAAGGTTTCTCCTGATTACACAATAATCTATGCAAATTGACAATTACTTTTACCTATTTGTCTTTTTTGGCTATTCCAAGTGCACATGCATGCATGTGGTTCAGAGAACTGAAGCAAAGGTAGCCTTTTTAAAATTTTTTTTTATTTTTCAGTGCTCCAAGATTCATTGTTTATATACCACACACAGTGCTCCATACAATATGAGCCCTCCTTAATACGCACCACTAAGCTTACCCATCATCTCACCCACCTCCCTTCCAAGTCCCTCAGTTTGCTTCTCAGAGGCCACAGCCTCTCATGCTTCAACTCCACCTCCGATTTCCCCCAATTCGTTTTTCCTTTCTCTCTCCTAATGTCCTCCATGTTATTCCTTATGCTCCACAAGTAAGTGAAACCATATGATAATTGATTTTCTCTGCTTGACTTATTTCACTCAGCATAATCTCCCCCAGTCCCAACCATGTGGACACGATGTTGGGTATTCATCCTTTCTGAAGGAGATGTAATATTCCATTGTATATATGGACCATATCTTCTTTTTCCATTCATCTGTTGAAGGGCATATTGGCTCTTTCCACAGTTTGGCGATTGTGGACACTTCTGTTATGAACATTGGGGTACTCATGGCAATTCTTTTCACTACATGCAAAGTTAGCCTTTTGCTGCGGTTTCAGTAGGCAGCAATTTCATCAACTTTCCATAATCTGAATTCTATATTAAACCAGTACATTTAAATGTTTATGAAAGATAAAAGCTTCTTGACAATAGCAAAATCATCTCTTCTATACTTAACTGCTATCAAGATAATTACTTTGAACTGAAGGTGAACAGGGGAATTAAATTTGCTTTAAGCTGATGAACTCTCACTCCCAAATTCTCTTTTACATTTTATAATCTATCTTTCCACAGGGTTTTTCATTTTAAGACAGGCTTCAGTGACCTGGTAGCTACCTTGACTCTAAAATGTTTTACCTCTTCCACTAAGTTTTGATAAAAGAAACGATATAACTACCTGGTGCCATTGGGCTCTCTCTCTTGCACTACAGTAAAATTAAAAGTGGTAGTTACACAAATCCAGAGACTCGGTAAATTCATAGTAATTGAGATGCAACAGAAAGTAGAATAGTGGTTGCCAGGAACTGAGGAGAGGAGGGACTGGGGAGTTACTGTTTAATGGGAATGAAGTTTCAGTTTAGGAAGATGAAAAAGTTCTAGAAGTGGATGACGGTGATGGTTGCACAGCAATGCCACTGAAATGTACACTTAAAAATGGTGAAAGTGGTAAACCTTATGTTACATATATTTTACCACAGTAAAAACCGGAAAAGATACAGTAGAAATAGCACTTCAGGGGCACCTGGGTGGCTCAGTGGGTTAAGCCTCTGCCTTTGGCTCAGGTCATGATCTCAGGGTCCTGGGATTGAGAGCATCGAGCTCTCTGCTTAGCAGGGAACCTGTTTCTCCCTCTCTCCCTGCCTGTCTCTCGGTCTACTTGTGATTTTTGTCTGTTAAATAAATAAATAAAATCTTTTTAAAAAAAGAAAGAAAGAAAGAAATAGCACTTCAGCCAACTTTGGATTTCAACAAAATGAAGACTATTGCTGTGAGTTTAACTTCTTAACCCAAGTCCTACCACTTGTGCCCTTCCCATCCCCAACAACTCTATAAAACATTTAGGCAACCCAGCTAGAAATAAGTGGTGGGGGAAAAAAGCAGTGGCTCCATTATCTCGACTTGTTCCTCTTATTCTTCTCCAACCTTTTTAAAATTAGTTTTCAAATCCCAAAGAAACTCACGATATCCTGACGTTATCACAGGACTAGCTGAAACAGTTATTATCCTGACAGGCTCCCTCTATTGCAATTTGCTTCAACAACCTTAGAGCCTATGTGAGACCAATTTCAGACCTAAAGATACCTACAGATTGAAAGCGAAGGGATGGAGAATATTTACACAAATGGATGTCAAAAGAAAGTCAGAGTAGCAATACTGCTATCAAACTAAACTTTTTTGTTCTTGTATTGTTTTCATCCTGCTTTGGCATCAGAGCAGTACTGGCTTCATGGAATGATTCTGATTTATATTATTTGTAAAATTTCGATAAAGAGTGTCATTCATTTTTTTTCAATGTTTACTAGAATTCACCAATGAAACCATGTGGTCTTGGGCTTTTCTGGGCTGGTAAACTTTCATTCTTCTTATTGGTGTAAGAAAATATCCTATTTCTTGGATTTAAGATTCATGATTCAATCCTGGTAATTTGTGTGGGTTTTAGGAATTATCTGTTTTGTTTTCCTAAGTTATCTGATTTGTTAGTAGTTAACTGTTTATAGTAATCTGTTATCATACTATGTATTTCTGTGGTTATCTGTTACATTGTATTCTCTTTCATTCCTCATTTTGGTTTTTGAGCCTCCTTTGTTTTCTTAGTTAATGTAGTTAAAACGTTGCCAATTTCAGGGCTTTTTTCTTTTTAATTGGTCATTACTTTCAGTGTTATGTTATTGTTTATTCTGGTCTCTTTTTTATTTATTTATAATTTTTCTTTGTTATTTCCCTCTTCTACTAAATTTCAGCTTAGTTTCTTCTTTCTTCTTTTTCTAGTTCTTTGTAGTGTAATGTTAAGTTATTTGAATTTTTTATCTTTTTTAGATTTTACTCATTTACTTATTTTTGAGGGTTTATCATGATTATGAATATGATCCCTTTTATTTATTTTTAATTTAAATTCAACTAGCCAACATATAGTACATCATTAGTTTTTGATGTAGTTTTTTCAGGTAAAGAACACATTCATGAGAGCTGGGGGCAGGGGACAAGGGGTGGTCTCAACCAGGCTTCATGCTCAGAGGGCTCAATCTCATGACCCTGAGATCATGACCCAAGCCAAACCCAAGCCTCAGACACTTAACTGAGCCATCCAGTTGTCCCGAACTTTTTTCCTTAATACAGCATTTATAGTGGAAATTTCACTCTAACATCTGCTTTTGCTGCATCCCGTGGGTTTTGGAATACTGTATTTTCATTTTATTTTGTTTTGAGCCACACTTTGATTTGCTGGTGGATTTCTTATTCAGCCCATTGCTTGTATAGTAGTGTGTTGTTTAATATTTACACTGGAGAAAGTAAGAAAGAAAGAAAGAGAACAAATCCTAGTAGTTCCACCTCCTACTCCCTTATTTCAGGAATCCTGATGATTCTCTAGCCATCTGAAAGCTAAATATGCAACTTCCAGTTTGGGCAATGTTCCATAGGACACCCACAAAATCAAATAATGATCCATAGCGCTACACTGTCTCTTTTCTCCCTTCCTTCAGTTAAAAGTGGCCCTCATCCTAAAACATCCAAACAATAAATTCTCACAGAAATTTAACACTCTTTATAAGATGTCTACTAATCTGCTCTTTATTCACTAGATGAAGCCCTTAACTTCAAAAGGGTCCCAGCTTTTTGCCTTAACACATACCTGATGATGAAGCTGGAGTCCTGTTAGAAGTGTCTCCATTTGCTCCAGAAGAATACCTATCCTGTAATAAGGAAGAAAAGACTCATTTTCTATTTTGAAAATAAAAATGCACCACCATAAATACTAGAAAACTTTAATAACCGGGCATTGTTCCAAACAAAATAAAGCAGAGTATAAGATTTCCGGGTCACTCATTACTTTATTAATTATTCCAAGACTTCACTTTAACACTGAATGCATAGCATATTTTTTTGAATATCTTATTTATTTATTTGACAGAGAAAGACAGGGAGAAAAGGAACACAAGCAGGGGGAGTGGCAGAGGGAGTGGCAGACGGAGAAACAGGCTTTCCACTGAGCAGGGAGCCCAATGAGGCCCCATTCCAGGACCCTGGGATCTTGACCTGAGCAGAAGGCAGATGCTTAATGACTGAGTCACCCAGGTGCCTCGAATGCATAGCATATTATCACTTAAAACAGCGAATAGCAAACTACAGTCATGAGCCAAATCTGGTGAGCCACCAGTTTTCATGAAATTTTATTGGAACATAGTCACCCTTGTTCATCTAGGTATGTCTATGGCTGCTTTCCCACCACAATAGCCAAGTTGCAACAGAGATCATTAAGCCTGCAAAGTTTAAAATATTTACCATCTAGCCCTTTATGGGAAGAGTCTGCTGACATCTGACTTAAAAGTTTACCCACCCATATACTTGGAAAGTATAATAATAATAATTATTATATAAATAAAATCTGACCAAAGTAACACATGAATAAATCAATGCCTGCCAATATTTTTTAAACTTCAGTATTTTACATTTTACTCAACAACACCTCACAGAATAAAGTATAGTGGAGGAGGAGAGCAATAGGTAACAGCACAGTACTACAGGATTTTATTGTTAAAACCTCAGTTGTGGGGCACCTGGGCGGCTCAGTCAGTTAAGCGTCTACCTTCGGCTCAGGTCATGATCCTAGGGTCCTGGGATCAAGCCCCATATTTCGCTCACCGCTCAGCAGAAACCTGCTTCTCCCTCTCCTCTCAGCTTGTGCTCTCTCTCATCTCTGTCACTATGTGTCTCTCTCTCTCAAATAAATAAGTAAAAATAAAATCTTTAAAGACAAAAACAAAACATTTCAATTGTGTTGGGGCACCTGGGTGGCTCAGTTAAGTGTCTGCCTTCAGCTCAGACCATCTCAAAGTCTCAAGGTCCTGCGATCGAGTCCACATTGGGCTCCCCACTTGGTAGAGTCTGCGCTCCCTCTCCTTCTGACACTTCCCTGCACTTGTCCTCAAGTGCACGCGCCATCTCACATAAATAAATAAAATCTTTTTTTAAAAAACTTCCATTGTGTTTATATAAAGGGAAATAAATTTATGTGTCCACGGTTTTTAAAAAGGAGTTCACTCTAAAATAAAGAAAACATCACATCAATGAGGCACTAAAGACAATACACCTGTATATATACATTGCAAGTACAGTGTAAATACAAAGAAGTGGTTCAAGTCAGCTTCAGAATATTCAAGTTAATTTCAATCAAACTTGTCACAGCAACAGTTGAAGACTTTTGTTGATGCTCTCAAATACTGGCTATCCCATTTTCCCTACCTTATTAGTCTCCAGAAAATGTATTCGCTATTAATGCATATGTATTACATTTGTAATGGTATATTTGCATTTCTGTTGGCCTCAGGAAATTCAACTTTTGTTATTAATTCAACCCCTAAATGTCAAATTAATGTGGGAATCTTTCAACATTTTCAGTGTATCTTTGTGTTAACAACACCTTGTGTAACTTTCTTCTCACTTGTAACGCCTAGGCTGCCCTTATCATCATTAACTGACTCCTTACGTTAACCTCACATAAGCTTTCTCTACTTACAACAAAACTTACAGAACACAAATCTCAAATTCTTGCAAATGAAATGCAGAATTCAATAATTTAAAAATGAAAGGTGACCTAAAACTTACAGGTGATATCTTAATAACTGATTATATTAGAATAGTCACATTTCTTCAAATGAGTTCCTTTAAATAAACCAAAAGCTAGAGGTAGCGCACTAGTCATACTTATTTTCTAAAATTTCTTTTACAGAAGACACTGAAAAACTTTAAAAACTACTATTATAAAGCTCAAGAGTCATCCAATTATTTTCTGAGTTATTAAGAACAGAAAGGCAATACACCATAGTTAAAATGCCTTGGGCTTTTGGTAATTACTACAGTAAAAAGTTGCAATTTATAATTACCATAGACATTAAAACAAATATCCCATGAGATAATTAGGTTTTTAAGAACCTGACTGTGATGAACTGGAAAGTCAGAACACAAGACACAGCATGTTTAAAAAAATTTTTTTTAAATAAATAAAACATTAAGAAGAGTGATCCACTTCTCCCTCTTTAAAGTGATATTCTGAAGACTTTTTTTTTAAATTTTCTAGTGGCCAAAGTATTATTGGATGAAGAAAATACAAACAAGGGCTGGTTTAAGTGCAATAAAGCTAATAAGGGTAACGAGACACTTTAGTATTCAAGAACTTAAAAACTATTATTAGATGATCTTCAAGCTGTGGGATTTAGTATTCCACATACACAGAATTCAGAAATTTCAAGGCAAATTTTGAAATAAAACATCAAAAAAAAAATTCCTAACCTTTTTCAGAACCTTAAAAATAAATTAATTTCATATTCCCTTTAGCTACTGTACCATTTCTCTGCCTCTCTTAAAGTAAAATGTCTACAGCTGCTCCCTCCACTTTCTTATATCCCATTTTTCCTTGGAGCCACTCAAGTTGGGAGTACCCAGGGTAAATCCCTTTAAGTCTGTTTTACACTATGCAACTCTACCCAATCTCAAAGCTTTAAATCCCATTATTATGCAGATAATTACCAAATTTATATATATAGCTCTGATCCCTCTTCTAGGCAACAAATTCATATAACCTACTGGCTGGTATCTTTACTTACACTTTCATAGTCAACACAACAATCACAACATTCATTGTTTTGACCCCTCCAAAGCTTGTACATCAGTTGGCTAAATGAACATAATAAAAAGAAAGAAAGAAAGAAAGAAAGAAAGAAAATAAGATGCTGGGGCACAAAAAAAAGAAAAGCTGTACATCTTTCATAGATTCTCCATTTCGGCTAATGGCACCATCATCCATCTAGTTGCTTAAATTTAAAAAACCTATGGTACAGCACAGGGAATATACTCAATGGTCTTGTAATGCTATTATATGATTACAGATGGTAGCTACTCTAGCATGAGCACATCCTAACATACAGACTTGTCAAATCACTATTGTACACCTGAAACTAATGTAACATTGTTTCAACTATACTTCCATAAAATAAATAAATAAAATTTTAAAACCTAGCCATCATCCTTGATTACGCTCTTTCACTCCCCATACCCAGTCAAGCAAATCCTATTAACTCTTAAGTCCACAATTACCTTAGGTCTCCTCTCCATTCCCTCTGTGAATTCATTTTCTACCACTCTTGTCTTATCTCATTGTACTTTAGCCATACTATCTGTAAGTGGGCTGAAAAATGGCTACCTAAAGACATTAAGTAATAAACCCTGAAACCTGTAAATGTTACTTTATTTGGAAAAAGAGCTGTTGTAAAGGTAATTAAACATAATTAAAATGCAATTAAACATTAGACTTTGAAATGAGATTGCTCTGGATCGTCTGTGTAGGCTCTAAATGTCACCACAAATGTCCTTATGAGAGACAAAAACAGTTACGTGAGACACACACGGACAGCCATGGAAGATGGAGCAGAAAGAGATGTAGCCACAAACCAGAAAATTCCTATCACTACCAGAATGCTGGAGGCGGCTATGGATTCTCTCCTAGAGCCTACAGAAGGAAGATAGCCCTGATGACACCTAGATTTCTAACTTCTGACCTTGGGAAACTAAAACCTTGTTATGCAATTTATCTATCAGGTGCACCACTATCCCCAACACCTAATAGGGCTCAATAAAATTTCACTGGATGATTCAAATAAGCCAATTTAGAATTTTCAAAATGTTTTACACATAGGGTTCTCATATGCAGCTCAAATAATCCATTTGCATTTTGGTGAACATTTCTTTTGACTTTGTATGTATTCATACATACATACAAGTATGTATGTATGTATTCTCACTTCTAAAATACCACTTCCAAAGTATTTTCACTTATAAAATATCACTTCTAAAGTATTTTCACTTCTAAAATATCACATTTTTTAGGTCCTTTATGTTTTTAAGCCAATGAACACTTCCATCAACATGGTAAGCTTTTATTTTGTTTGTTTTTTTTTAATTTTTTTTTAAAGATTTTATTTATTTATTTGACAGAGAGAGAGAGATCACAAGTAGGCAGAAAGTGAGGCAGAGAGAGAGAAGCAGGCTCCCCGCTGAGCAAAGACCCCATGCGGGGCTTGATCCCGGGACACTGAGATCATGATCCGAGCCAAAGGAAGCGGCTTAATCCACTGAGCCACCCAGGCACCCCAATTTTGTTTGTTTTTTTTAATGCAATAAGGTTTTGATCTCAAAAACTTGTCAGTTCTGATACCCAAATGAACTTACACAGCTGGACAGCTTGTGAACCCTGAAGATGCCTCTTCCCTGTCCAATGTGGGGTCCAATGCAGATAGCTCCATGTTTTCTTCCCCCAGCCCCCTAAAGTCCTTAGCAAATATCTCTTTCATTTTATAGCCAGAATCCCCTCAAATGCATCAGAGTACTCTATCAATTTATACAGAATACCAAGATTTCATTTCCTATTCTAGGTTCCATGTCAAATAAAGCTGACATAGGTTGTCCAAATAAACAGATCAGACAGGGTTATGTCAAATAGTGTGCTTCATAAAAATTTTAAAATTTAAATTTCAGGGGCATCTGGATGGCTCAGTGGGTTAATACTCTGCCTTCGGCTCAGGTCACGATCTCAGGGTCCTGGGATCAAGCCCCACATCGGGCTCTCTGCTCGGCAGGGAGCCTGCTTCTCCCTCTCATTCTGCCTGCCTCTCTGCCTACTTGTGATCTCTCTGTCAAATAGATGAATGAAATCTTGGGGAAAAAATTTTTTAATTTCAGACAAAGCATGTCTCCTTCTTTGGTCTGACACATAAATTAAAGTCCCAAAATACAGAAAATATTATTCTATATCCCTTCTTCTGACTGATCAGTCCTAGCTAGGTCAGCCCCATACCCAACCCCAGCTGAAGTCTGGTCTTTTTTCCCTTTCTTCAGCAATTGGTATATGACAACTTCTAAAATTACTACAGCTACTTCAGCACTTCCAGGGCTGAAGAACTCCAACTCCTGAGTCTCAGATATCACACACATACCCAAAGTTCAAGAGAACTAGCACGTCACACAAGAAAGAGCAAAGAACCTCAAAATTTAGAGGTAACTACCAAAGCTAGGAACAAATGTGACTGCTCTAAGAGCTCACAATCTAGGCCCTAATTTCTGTGAGAACATTTTCCAAATAAAAGTTATTTCCCCAAACAAAAACTTTTAACAATCAAAACGCAGAGTGAAATCATCTACCCCATACTATGAGAGAAAGCTAGACCAAATGAGTACAGAGTATAGTCAGAGAAACACAGAAAACAAAAGGCTCTCTAGTTTCACCTTCTCTCTGGAATCAGGCAATCTCAATCAGTTGACTAGAAACCAATGGCTGTAAGCTGCTGAACTTCTTCAAAAGGATTCAGTTTTCTCTATCTTCCAGACCTACTTTACCAACATCTCTGCCATTCTCCTCAGCCTTCTCATATCTTTCTATCACTCTATTCTCAGGTCCACATTATTTAATTTTTTAAAAGATTTTATTTATTTGACAGAAAGAGAAACACCGAGAGGGGGAACACAAGCAGGGGAAGTGGGAGAGGGAGAAGCAGGTTTCCTGCTGAGCAGGGAGCCCAGTGTGGGTCTCAATTCCAGGTCCCTGGGATCATGACCTGAGCCAAAGGCAGAGGCTTGACGACTGAGCCACCCAAGTGCCCTCCATTATTTAGATTTTAAAGATGAGTCAGAGATCTTTCCTGCTTGACACCTGGACTTTTATTTGGATGACCATTTTGACTGGTGTCCACAAGTTACATGTATTTAGCAACAAACAAGAAATTCCCTGTTTTCTAATATGACACACAATATTCTCCCATATCTCAGTGATGATTATAAGCAGAAACTGTTTACAGTCTCTCAGGCTCTAGCATTTCAGCTTCCTCAGTTCTGCCAATTCAGTGATGTCCAAGAGCCACATTTTTTCCTGCTACTTCAGAACCATAGTATGAATGGGAACAAAGAAGCCCCGAACTTTATTTTCTTATCTAGACAATTATTATAAACGTTGCTAGTACTGCTTAATACAATTATAATTGTGGGGGCACCTGAGTGACTCAGTCAGTTAAGTGTCTGATTCTTGATATCAGCTCAGGTCTTGATCTCAGTGTTGTGAATTCAAGCTCTGCACTGAGCTCCACGCTGGGCATGGAGCCTACTTAAAAAAAAAAATTTTTTTTTAATTGTGGATGGACCAGTTATCTCAAGCTATGTTTGCTTTAATCACAAGAGTATTTGCCTTCTGAAGTGTGCCACCAAAAAGGCAGATAATGAGACAGAAGAAATCACTGTGGAGACTTTCTCTCATGGTCATCTATCAAGAAGAATTCATTACACAGCAAGTAAGCAAGTCCAGTATACTGTTATTCACCATATTCATCCACTCCAACACTCATCCCAACAAGCTTGCATGCAGTGTGCAACTGCCTAACAACTGAGATGTATGGACTACATCATTACTAGATTAGCAAATATTTTTTAATCTCACATTTTGCACTGTTCCACACCCAGGTGGTATACCATCTTCAAAATCTGTGTTTGGGAAGTTCCAACAGCTATCAGAACAGTGGCCTATTGGTTCAAAATTACGTAAGCATGGGTAACTATTAATTTTCAAAAAAAAAAAAAAAAAGATCCTGAAAAGTAGTCAGGAAAGGCTGATCAGATATTCTCTAAGATATCAATCCAAGACAGTTGAGGAGCCAAGACAAATTTTTTAAAAAACAAAAGCTCAGCTGTCTCTTAAAATAGATATTCAGAACAGCCAATCAAAATGGTACCTTTAAATGAAACCAGGTTGAATAGAAGACCTCAGATCTCTCCCACAAATACATATAATGTATTCATCCTCACTTTCTGCACTTTTTTTTTCAACCAAGGCAGACAGACAAAGCCACTGACTGCACCACGTTCCTTCAAGTCAACTAGGCCAGATAACTAACTGTACAACCAGCACCAGGATTTAAGTTTGCAGATAATGCAAAAAATTTAGAAATTGGCCCCACACAAATGTATTAAGAATCATAAGGTAAAATTAGCATTAACACTCAATTTAGTATTCTTAACATTAAGAAAAAAGGTCAGTTACTAAATAGCAAAAATATTTCAAAAAGGTAAACTGAAAGCTCTGACAGCCAACCATCCCCAATTTCAGACATCCCACGCAATAAACATGCACAACATGTTACAGTCTAGTGTACTATTTGAAAAATACATAATGAAGACAAAAATCTCAGACTAAGAAGAAATAAATATTAGGTGATTATTAAAGTTCAAGTGAAAAAGTCTGTATCTGTGAATTAAACTTTGTAATATAACAAACCTACTGAGAACCAGGGGTAAAAAGAACCATAAAATACCTTTTGACCGAGTAATTCCATTTCTGAAAAAAAGTACTCCTAAATTAAAACAAAAAATAAGCTGTAGATATTCATGACAACATTACAGTGGAAAGCTAACATCTTAAACTCCTACCAACTGAAAATCAATTATATTATGATAGAGCCATTCCACGAAATATTATGCAACCATAAGAAATTATTTCTAGGAAATTAGTAGTAATATGGAATAGTTAGTGCCAAAGAGTGAAAAAGCTGGAATCAAAATTACTACTATGTGGGTGCCTGGGTGGCTCAGTGGGTTAAAGCCTCTGCCTTCGGCTCAGATCATGATCCCAGGGTCCTGGGATCAAGCCCCGCATCCGCTCCCTGCTCAGCGGGGAGCCTGCTTCCTTTCCTCTCTCTCTGTCTGTCTCTCTGCCTACTTGTGATCTCTGTCAAATAAATAAATAAAATCTTTAAAAAAAAAAGAATATAATCTTAAAAAAACACTACTAAAATACTATACTACTAAAAAAATGTACTATCAATGGGGGAAAAAAGAATTAACTTTACTAAAAATTTATAAGAGTGTCTGTGCTAAGACTGTTAAGTGATTTTTCTCTTCTTTTCCCAATACTGTAATAGAATTTTTATGATAGGCAGAGGACCATTAAAAAAAAAAACACATAAAATATGTAATTTCTAAATAAGTTCCAAAAAAAAGAAACATGTTAAAAGTCATATTATTATCTTGAGTATTTTGAAATAAACTTTACACACAGATCAAATCCAGGTAAAACAAATAAAATATGTATTTTATATTTTTGTGTGATATAAGAACTTCCACTAAGACATCACTTGAAATACAGTGTTTGTCAAAATTGATCAACATAATGCATAAACATAAACTAGAAACTCTAAAAGAAAGAAAAGAAAATCAGTTTTTGGAGGCATTTCAAGTAGATTACACTTATGCAAAAACAATCCCTTAAAATATTTTGACTTCTAAATATATACATAATATATAATACATACATATACATTAACTTCTAAAATAAAGTTTTTTTAAGTCAATTTTCAAGTCAGAACTGAAACCCAAAACCTACTCCAAGGCCTCTTCTTGTGAATTACAATGTAACTCTCCAAATGCCACTAAGGAAAAAGATCTGAAGATTTGCACATTTGAAGAGCAAGGGGCTGACGCCATCTCAATCAGCCTAACATATTCATCTCGAGAGATAATGTATGGAACCAGTTTTCAAAATTCAAAGTATCACCCAACACCAAATTATATTTTTCAATTTTCAATTCAAGTGTCTCTCAGACATACTCAACCACAGTTGTACCAGCATGCTTCCACCCACAGTACATCCTAAATCACTGACATTTAAATTGTAAATAATATTACATTTATTTTAATTATCAAATTACATATTTTACTTCATTTGAGGGTTAAAGTGCCTCTTCCTCACTGTCCCTAAGACAGTTAATAACTATCAGATGGAGATAAGCACAGCATACTGAAACAGACTGTGATTTATAACTTTCCCACCACAGTGATTTTTCAACTTCGATAAAATCTGTAGCATTGAATAATCACAAACTTTCAATGTTACTACCTTCTCGAAAACAGGAACATAAGAAGACATATGAGGTTTGATTATTTCTGCTTCCCAATCTTCATCTCCCATGGTGGCTTCCAGTTCTATTTTTATCTTTAAAAAAAAAACAAAAACAAAAAACAAACCAACACCACATGCATATTTGGCCTGTTAGATCAGAATCATATATCTAAAACCATAAACTATCATAATTTCACATACACCTCCTGAAACTACTTAACTAGCTGCTGACCTTCCCCAAAAGTGTTTCCAAAAAGAGGGAAGTTTTGTTTCTTACCTTGTACCCATTTTTTTACCTTTAAAAATGAGTTGAACTTAATCATTCTAGCAATCTAGCTTAGGGTTTTCTCCCAAACCTGTTCACCTTCGCCTTCCCCAAACAGCTTATTGGATATTAAGGGCAAGGGAAAATTTTCAACTACTCCTCAAAGTTTCCCTCTTCACACATCTTTGTAAAGTTTGGAATCTTTGATAGTTTAATGGAAGAGAAGGAGCTGAGGCCAACGCCTTTAAGTTTGGCGGGGTAGGAGACATGGGTTAGGTGGCCCAAATCCTTCCAACAGTGGTCAACCAGTACTCTGAGGAGCGTGCGTACACAGAAGTTACCACTGACATTCTCGTTAAGAGAAAAGCCGTACAGGCACTGGGGGGGGGGGGCGCACACACACACACAAATCTATGCCTCATCTGTAGGCCTTGAGCCGTTCCGGCGTACCCTGGGCTTTAAGACCTAACACAGGCAGGAGAAGGAAAAGCCCCATAGGACGGCCCCAAGCCCCACCTGTCCCACCTATTCTATGTCTAGCCCAAACTACCACTACCGGGAAGTCCAAGGCGACAGGCGGAGGCCCACACAGAGAAGGGAAGCGCCAGCGCACTCACCTCTCCGCGGCTTGCTCTCCCGGGGTCCTCGCAGGCGCTGACGCCGCTTAAACGGCTGCACGTGCAGGACGCCGTCGACTGCGTCAGGTGCGCAGCTTCAACAACAAATGGCACCAGGCGACGAGAGCCACCAGCCAATCAGAGCTCAGACCGTCGGCGTCACCCCTCCCCACCTCCGCTGTGCGTTCCCTACTTGCTCGCATTTGAGGTCGCTGTGGTCAGACTTACTCTCTTGTTTCCTTAGTGGCCCGTTGGGCCTGTGGGTACAATGTGGCTGGCCATGAGCCACTTCTCTTCAGATTCTTGAGTGGGGTCTTCAATCTGGAGATGCCCTAGATTTTCTCCACGCAGGTACTGCAAGCCAAAAATGTCCACCTCCCTTTTTCTAACACCAGAAATAAAAGGAAGTAGGGTAATGCCCTCCCTTCAACCTGCTTAGCTTTCTCTTTTCCTTTTTCCTACGGCAGTCTGTGGCAGTTGGTCCCACTGGTTCTTCGTTTCTGAGGCACTTACTTCCCATCTGGAGATTTCTGCTGCTTCAACATATAGCATAGGCCCATGGAGCCAGCAGATTTCCTTTCCTCCCAGTGACGGCTGGAATGAGGATCTGTCTTGCTGTTGTAAAGAAAGCCTGTCCTGTAGAGTCAAGGGTCCACATCTTTGGGAAAGAGATGCCCTCCGATGCAGAAGGAAAGCGAAAATTGTGCTAGAGTAGGTCGTTCATCAAGGCTTGAAACTGGGGGCCACAGGGTTATATTCCTAGGGATACTGGCCAAACCTAAGAGTGACCAAGGCTCATTTCCATGCTTAATCCTCTCACGAAACAGATACTCTTGTTTTGCCTCACAAAAAGTAAATTTCTCAGTATATCTCCATTCCACCAAAAAGCCTAACAGAGGGCTGTTTTAAAAGTTACAGTTTCCATTTTTTAATTTTCATGATTTTCTGTTCTCGAAATCTTTAAAGAAATGCTGAATATTTCATTCAGTAATATAAATCCCAACATAATGTGACACTCAGACATAGAGGACAACACACTTTATGGGTTCAGCTTTGTGGTGGTCATCTTTAGAACCACCATTATTGGGCACCTGGGTGGCTTGCTCAGAGGGTTAAGCATCTGCCTTCAGCTCAGGTCATGATCCTGGGGTCCTGGAATCCAGTCCCACATTGGGCTCCCTACTTCTTGGGGAGCCTGCTTCTCCCTTGCCTCTCTCTCATGAATAAATAAAATCCTTAAAAAAAAAAAAAAAAAAGAACCACCATTATTGTTTCTCTCTTCCACCAAGAATGTCAATATTTATCTAGTTAAGCACTAGCACTATTTCCAAGGTGAATTGTTTTCAAAAGATTATATTTAACAAAGATCAAACCAGAATATATTTTAACATAACTGTCATTTTTAATAATTTCTCTTATTAAACCAAATTTTCACATCATACTGTTGAGGAGGCTAGTACCTTAAATCACTATATGTTCATGGGAGAGCCACCAATACTCCCGGAGCTCTGAGCTTGTAAAAAGGAGTTTTCTAACATATTTTAACTCACTTTGAATTGATGTTATTCTTTCAAAAATTTTTATGTCATAGGAAAAAATTAAGCAAAAGGAGTAAGATATGAAATTGCTTTGATAGAATGACAACCAAGTAGATTCTTTTGTAGGTATAGAAAACTTGGGAGAGGGGCGCCTGGGTGGCTCAGTGGGTTAAAGCCTCTGCCTTGAGCTCAGATCATGATCTCAGGGTCCTGGGATCGAGCCCCGCATCGGGCTCTCTGCTCAGCAGGGAGCCTGCCTCCCCCTCTCTCTCTGCCTGCCTCTCTGCCTACTTGTGATTTCTGTCTGTCGAGTAAATAAATAAAATCTTTAAAAAAATAAAAAAAGAAAACTCGGGAGATATTTTCTAAAATGAGCTTTTTTCCAGGATTGAGCTAAAGATAATAACTTTTTTAATTTGAGTATAGTTGACACACACTGTAAAATTAGTTTCAGATGTACAACACAGTGATTCAACAAGTTTATACACTATGCTATGTTCACCACAAGTATAGCTTATATCTGTCACCATACCTCACTATAATAATATTAACTATATTCCTTATGCTGTGCCTTTTACTCCTGTGACTATTCATTCCATAGCTGAAAACCTGTATCTCCCATTCCCCTTTAACCATTTTGCTCATTCCCCCAACCCCTTCCTTTTTGGCAACCATCAGTTTGTTCTCTGTACTTATAGGTCTGATTCTGCTTTTTGTTATCTTTTTTCCCCTTATAGACTCTACATATGAGTGAAATAATATAATATTTTCTTTCTCAATCTGACTTATTTCACTTACCATAATACTCTCTAGGCCCATCCATGTTGTCTCAAATGCCAGGCTCATCCTTTTTCATGGCTGTATAATATTCCATTGTGTACTTATACACCATATCTTCCTTATCTATTTGTCTATCAATAGACACTTAGGTTGCTTCTATATCTTGATGATTATAAATAATGCTGCAATAAACACAAAGGTGCACATACCTTTTTAAAAAAGATTTTATTTATTTGAAAGAGAGAGAGAGAGAGAGACAGCAAGAGAGGCAATGCAAGCAGAGGAGTGGGAGAGGGAGAAGCAGGTTTCCTAGTGAGCAGAGGGCCCAATGCAGGGCTTGATCCCAGGACCCCGGATCATGACCTGAGCTGAAGGCAGATGCTTAATGACTGAGCCACCCAGGCGCCCCAGTGCATATATCTTTATAAATCAGTTTTTTCAATTTCTTTTGGTTAAAGAAAACAGTTAGCAAACATTTTCAGCTATCCAGTCTCAGAACAGATTGTTACGGCTTTCAGGTGTTGCAATGAAACAGTTCTTTATGAAACATTCTATATAATTTTTAAAAGCTGTCCCTGGTTAAGAAAAAGTAAATTCTAAAGAGAATTAAAGTTCGATATTAAGGAAAGGATAAATAAGAGGTGGATGAAAATAATATAATTCAACAATAGAACATAAACAGTGAAAAAAGACAAACACAGTTAAAGCCAGTATGGGTATCACTCATGTTTAGAAAACTCACATTCTGCCACTTTGCTTCTATGAAAGACTTACATTTGGGCCTGTTATCACTAACAGAAAAATTCAAAGAGGATTTCTGCTTTTATGAAAAAGCAAAAGCAAAAATAGTATTCAGTGTTCTTCTGTAGTGATGCCTTCTAGAGGCAGCTCCTTCCCTAAGAGCTAAGCATCTTAGCATCAAGCCACTGTAGCTTTGAACTGTATTTGTGAGCATCTTTGCTTTAACTCTATTTTATGCATCCATTAGCAAGGTGTGACCTAAGGTATCAGAAAAGTCTAAGAGAGGTCATTTTTTTGTCTGAGAAGGGTCAAAATTTTTTCATATAAATTCATGGTACTCGCTTCTTCACTTTACACTATTGGGACCTGTGAAAGCTTTCGTAAGAACACTCTACTTTCAGATAGTGGGGGACACAAATATGTTCTATTTTCTGTGTTCCCCCCAAAAGATCTTAAACTAATGATAGTATTAAATTGCAACACAGGGAAAATGCAGGAATTCATTAGTTATTCATTTAGTTATTATATAGGCTTTAAATGAACACCTAGGGTGTGCCAGGTACTATGCTAAGTGCTATAAGTAAAATCAGCCAATTTCTCAGGGAACAGTCTAGAGAAAAGAATGGCAGTGGAAAGTGGAATACAAAACCTTAAGATTTCTTTCTCAGAAGATTCACTGGAAAGCTTATATAGTTTATCCAAATTCTGTACATCCCATGTAACAAGGTTTTTCCCAAAGATGTTTCACAGTTAGGAATCAAAGTTTGCGGTTAATATCCTTTTCACTTTAGAAAGAAGCATTAAATTCTCCAAAGAAAACTGGTATTTTAGGCTTTTTACATTTTCAGTATTATCTCTACATTACTCAAATAACGATTTTTTAATTGGTGTAAACTGTGCCTAGTATCATGTCAAGGTTGTTAAATTTTCTTTTAATCTACCGGTAGGCAAAAAATGGGTCACCTCAAATGGGGGAACATAGATATTCATTCCTAGATACTAAGAAATGTGAGAATCTCTTACTATGCACATAACCACACAAAAGATTTTTTTAAAATAAATATTACAGGGACACCTGGGTGGCTCAGTTAGTTAAGTATCTACCTTCAGCTCAGGTCATGATCCCAG